GTGCCCGTAATCCCAGCTACTCAGGAGGCTGAGGCAGGAGAATTGCTTGAACCCAGGAGGCAGAGGTCGCAGTCAGCCGAGATCGCACCACTGCACTCCAGCCTGGGCGACAGAGTGAGACTCTGTCTCTAAAAATGATGCACTCAGATTCAACAAAAGGAAAAGCAAGAAAGGAAGAAATAGAAAAAATTACTTCCAAGGGCTCTGAGGGGACCAGAAGTGACGTCCTCAGTGCGTGAGGGAAGGCAGGAGACAGACAGAGGGTTTGGAGCTTCGGGATGGGGGCTTACTCGTTGAAGCAGTGCGCGGCAGACACCAGCCACCTGGCGCCGATGACCGTGGCCCCACAGAAGTGCTCCTTTTTCTCTCGAAGGCTGGCCTGCCACGGAAACTCCCCCGGGGACGCTTCCACGCCACCCACGATCCTGCCGGCCGTCCTCCAGGCAGGCTGCAAGCCACACTCTGCAAGACAGCAGGTCACCAGCCAGGACCCCACGAAGACAGGACCTCACCCTGAACTCCCAAAACGTAACATCTCAGATTTCTCATCTACAGCCTCCAGATTCAGAGATGCTCGGGGGCCCCTGCTCGGCGTCCCTGACTCCTCCGGGGTCTCCCCTCCCAGAGAAAGGTCTATCCAGGACAGAGCTGCGGGTAAGGGGCGACGACCACACGCACAGGTTTCTGCGGGATATTGCGTCTCTATTTAGTCAACTTTCGTGTCCTTCAGCAAAGTTTTATAATTCTAAATTGTATAACAATTATCACAGGGATGACACAGGTTTTTAAGTTTAGTCTTTGTTTTTTAGCTATTGATCATGAAAGGGATTTTTTCCTATCTTCTATTATTACTGTATAAAGCAAAATGACAGCTTTTTCTTTTTCTTTTTTTGTTTTTTTCTTTGAGACGGGGCCTCACTCTGTCACCCAGGCTGGAGAGCAGTGGTGTAATCTCAGCTCACTGCAACCTCCACCTCCTGCATTCAAGTGATTCTCCTGTCTCAGCCTCCCAAGTATCTGGGACTACAGGCACCTGCCACCATGCCTGGCTAATTTTTTTTTTTTTTTTTGTATTTGTAGTAGAGACAAGGTTTCACCTTGTTGGCCAGCTTGGTGTTGAACTCCTGACCTCAGGTGATCCGCCTGCCTCAGCCTCCCAAAGTGCTGGGAATACAGGCGTGAGCCACTGCACCTGGCAAAGACAGCTTTTTTTAAATTTTCTTTTTTTGAGACGGAGTTTTGCTCTGTAGCCCAGGCTGGAGTGCAGTGGCATGATCTCAGCTCACTACCGTAACCTCTGCCTTCCAGGTTTAAGTGATTCTCCCACCTCAGTCTCCCGAGCAGCTGGATGACAGGCACCTGCCACCATGCCTGGCTAATTTTTGTATTTTTAGAGACAGGGTTTTTCCAGGCTGGCCAGGCTGGTCTCAAACTCCTGACCTCAGGTGATCTGCCCACCTCGGCCTCCCGAAGTGCTGGGATTACAGGCATGGGCCACCGCACCTGGCGTTTACTTTAAATAGCTTTTTAGTCAATTCTTCATTCATTCATTTCATTTCATTCTTTCAGCTTCTCTCCTCTTTTAACATTGATTTTAGATAGACAATCATTTCAAATGAATTAAGTCTTTGCTCTTCCTTTCCAATATGTAGACCGCATCCTTGCCTTATCGCATGGGCTAACATTGCTAGAAAAACGTTAACTACTCTTCCAGTAATTTATTTCATTGTACTTTATTTTTGAGACAGGGTCTCACTCTATTACCCAGCCCGGGCAGTGCAGAGGTACCATCGAGGCTCACTGCAGCCTCAATCTCCTGGACTCAAGCAATCCTCCCTCCCCAGCCTCCTGAGTAGCTGGGGCCACAGGTACACACCACCATGCTGGCTACATTTTTTAAATTTTATTTTTAGTAGAGATGGGGACTCACTATGTTGGCCAGGCTGGTCTCAAACTCCTGGCCTCAACTGATCCTCCTGCCTTGGCCTCCCAAAGTGCGAGGAATTTTTTTATTTTTCTAAGACAGGGTTTCACCATGTTGCTTGGGCTGGTCTTGAACTCCCAACCTCAGGTGATCCACCCGCCTTGGCCTCCAAAGTGGTTGGATTACAGGCATGAGCCACCACGCCCGGCCTTTTTTTT